TTTTTCAATAATTGTTTGTTGCGTATACATTGTATATTTCATCAAAAGCAATCCAAATATTTCATAATTTGAAATTGACAAAAGGTAATCAATTACGCGAGAATTGTTAGCAATTAGAAACGTATCGTGCACGTGTATGGCACGGGTGTTTAATAATGTTTTTAAACACTTTGTAATAGAAAAATTGACCGTCATCAGTGGCGGATTCAGACTCCAAAATGTTTTATTACGTCTCACATTCCATATACACATTTTTTCAACATAGTTTGAGTGAAATATTGGCGTAATAAGCTTCAAAAGCAATATTTTCGACAATAACAAGTTATAAAAAAATATTTAATACCTTAAAGTCAATACATGTTCCTCTTACATTATCTAAATGGTGTGAAAACGCGTGTCCAATAAACATCAACCACGTGTCATTGGTAATTTAATTATCGGTACTTAACACCCGTGATAAACATTCTTCAAATCACCAAACAGACTTCCCGAAAGTTGAAAAAAACTGTCAGACATTCGGTCTGACAAACCATGAAAATCTGCCGGACCGAAACAAAATCTGTCGGACCAAATAAAATTGATCAAAATCAAGGAAAATCTTGTGTTTGTATTTCTAAGACACTTTTTGTTTTTTATTTTTTTGCCGTAAAAATCGGCACAATCCGTACAGGGCATTTTCATCTCCTCCCTGTCATACACCAATGATTCATGGTTCTGCTTCCATTTTTCATTAAATTTTGTCTCAGGTCTATTCTTTTTATCCTTTTATTGCTGTTCTGCGCACTTTTCTGACGTAGATTTTCGTTTTTTCCCAGGTTTGGCACCTTTAGCGACGCCATTTTGTATACATGCGGCTTGGATAAAAGCTGGACAGTCGGACCGATCCGGAATAAAAAATTGTCGGACCTGATCAAAATTTATCGGACATGTCCGTCGGACCGACGTATTTCGGGAAGTCTGCCAAATTGCTGTTATTTCGCTAAATAAACAGTAGCTGCATTTGATTTTAACGGGGTTTTCTGATTGGTAAGTAACGTTCAATTTAATTATTTTATGTTTTTTCACTGTTTTAAAATGGAAATAGAAAGAACAGCAAATTCTACATGCATGTCGTTTTACTATTTTAATAATTTCATCAAACAATTAATATTTTGTATAGTTAATATTTTTAATTTTAAAAATGAATAAAATATTTCAATCATTACTAAAAAGATAATGTAATATGGTTAGCAAATTGCTTGCTACTGGTCATGCTTTTAACAAATAAAGTGATTTGCTTATATATTCCCGGCAGCAGAAATAAGAAAATAATTTTTACAGTTAAAAAATTATAGGATCAAATTTAAACGAGTACTATTTTAGTCACAGTAAAAATGATCCACAAAAGTATAATAATATTAAGCAAATACTTACATGTTTGATATTTATGCACTGTTTAAAATGAACGAACACTATTTATGAAAAACACCCCTCTTTGAAGCAATTTGGTTGTCTGCAGCTTAAAAATGGTGCTTATTAGCAAATACTTCTGTTAAAGGTCAATGTTTGAGATTTCATGGTAAACGTGTTATAATTAAGCGCTGTAATACAAATCTTTTGAATAAAGATATGAATTTGTTTTCTTAAGTGTTACGTGTCATTGATTAAAGTCATTACAATATTTAACGTAAATATAACGTAATACACGGGAAAAAAGAAACAGATTTAAAGACTCATGTTTATCTTCAAATATCAGCCATGACGAAATAAACGTATTTCTTTGTGCAGCAGTAAAGCCATTAAGCAGCTTTTTGTTGAAATTTGGTAATTTATTGTTAAGATTACATTAGAAAGTCCACAGCGTATGCATTACGGACTTTTCGTATTCTTCAAGTAAAATTCTGAAAATTATGTATAGAAAAGCTATTACAGTACTTTTCGTAAACATAACGGATTGAACGGGAAAAAAATGAAACAGATTGTAAATATCCATACTTGTCTTCAGTGTCAGCCATAACGATAAAAACGTATTATCTGATATATTCAGTATTCTACCTAATAAAATCAAACTTATACAGTATATGTAAAAAATGTGTATAAAATATCAACAATACCAACTTATATGATTATTTTATGTTTTAGACATAAAAAAACAGTATACAGTTTTGAAAATAAAATCTCCGTTTCGCAATAAAACATTGGCGCAACGGAGATTATGAAAGGTATAACAACAAAATGTTTATAATAAAAAATACTGAACATTGATTCTGTAATATCAACATATGACTTTATTTAGTATATACTAATGCAATTTTTTTTTAATTTATTTATTCAAATAACATTGGTGTTAATTAATTTCATATATTAGTACATACGTTGTGCCGATTTTCCAAAATTATCTCCGTTGCGCCATGAAATTTTCATTTCGCCAGGCATATATAATCCTTCAGTGTAAACATATACAATTTATGAAACATTTTAAAACATACTTACTTAAAAGTGCTAAACAATCATTTTAGATGCTCAAATACAGCATATTGACTTTAAAAAAGGCGTTGTGTCGGTTTTTTCTAAAAAAATATCTCCGTTGCGCCATGAAATTTCCATTTCGCCAGGCATATAACCCTTCAGTGCAATAAAACATATACAATTTATGAAACATTTTAAATCATACTTACTTAATAGTGCTAAACAATCATTTTAGATGCTTAAATATAGCATATTGACTTTAAAAAAGGCGTTGTGCCGGTTTTTCTAAAAAAAATATCTCCGTTGCGCCCGTTGCGTCCGTTGCGCCAAAAAATCTCCGTTGCGTATTTTAGTGGTACCCATTTATATTGTGTCACTTAAAACAAACAGTTTCTTATTGTTTTTCTGAAAACATCTGACAATTAATCATGTGTGGCATTTCTGCAAGTTTTAAAGTTAATACAACATGTGACTTTATGCAATTTAGTCAGGCATGACGTCAGTGCCACAGAATAAAGAATGTGTTTGAATTTAGGTTGTGATTGAAAATTGGTTGTTTCGGGATACTGCTGCAAGCGATCTTAACAAACATAATATGATATTGACATATTCAGTAACAATATTGGAATATAAGATGTCATGGGCATATTTTCAAAAAGTGAAACGAACACTGAAGTTCAACAGACTATATGTAGGAATACTCAATAAAATTTTACTCACATGTCCAATCGGATCTTACCCCACCCACAAAAATGCATTGCAAGAAATTTCATCATCATATTTAATGCAGATATATTTTTACAGAAACATGGAAAATTAACAAAAACTTACAAAAACATTCTTGGATATATTATCGACTATTTCTGTTATAAATAATTTGAAACTAAGATCAAACTTACAGCCTGAATAGCTCTAGCTGTCAATGTAGCAACTTCGTCTGCCATGTTTCAATTTAAAGGTTGAATGCCACTAATTTTCTTTGCCAGCTTTTTTGGCGCAACAATCAAACACACTGTTATAGCATTTATAATTTTAACATTATAAAAACATTTTATTTCAAAATTTATTTTAAAAAATAAATAACTAGTTAATTAAGAGGTTATTACGTTACTAGTTAACCTCTTAATTAACTAGTTAGTTATATACAGTATGGTTATCTGGTGGCAGAAATATGCCACCATATTAAAGACGTCCATTGTTAGCTGTTACCTGGTGGAGAAAGAAATGTTGATGTGAACAAGATTTTTAGGGTTTTGCTTTTCTTTCAGTGGAATTAATTCATTCAGCGGATGTACCTTTTGATTTTAGCAGTTAAATTGTATATATGAGAATAAATTCATTTAATCAGGTACGTATGTTAATATATATACCTGATTTAATTAATTAATTAATTAATATTATTATTATTATTATTTTGCTACTGGGAATGTTCGTTTACCCTGTCCCATTGGAGCCTATGTAAAAAAAACTACACTGATATATACAAGGTACAAAAAAAAAACTCAACTGTTTTATATTAGAACTGCACTAGTGTTATATATCAATACAGTTTTCAAATGCTCATTGAAAGTGTACTGAGTATAATGGATTAGTAAGAACAAAGAAAAAGTTTCAAACCATGCGATGAAACACAGATATATTGTCAACCAAATCAAATCTGCTATAGCTTTATGGTGTAGGAACTTTAATCATGCGACCTTTAAAGTTTCGATTATGACTATTTTATAATACATGTAATTCTAACTACATGTATACTGAGTATGCCAATTACAATGCCTGTACACGTGCAAGAATGTATCATTATTCAGAAGTATGCGATAATGGCCCGAAAATGTGCATAATGGCCTAAGTTTACTATTTCTCCTTAACGGCCTACTTTTAGAATAAAACAAATTGTTGTTCAGTTTGTAATACCTAGTCTATAAATCCTGTAAATACCATCGGTATATCACCTACAATAAATTTTACTCATTTATCTAGTTTGCCAGCCTAATAAAATACCCAAATGGTCATACGATATTTGGGATGAATAATTTATTTACATTTTATATGTTACAGTTGTGTTTTAATTGTGATTCAATAGACTGATAACAGTTATTCAAAATGTAGATTATATAATGTAGAATTCGCTTTCACAGAGAAACTAAAACCAACTGATAAAATTTCGTCAAAACATCATTATTTGATATGTTAGATTTATTAATATAGTTAATATATCTAAGTTAATTCAATGTTACGTTTCATCTTATTTTGTATAAATGGGGTAACGTCTAACTTAATTATATTCTCTGCAATGTTGCTGACAAAATCTAGTCAGAACCGTAAACATAGTATTTAGCTTGGCTTTTGTAGAACATAATCATGGAATGCTAGTTTGTAAATGCTATATATTGCGCTATTATACAATATCTTAATTTAATGACAATTTAAGTTATAGCATAGATAAATTAAGCAGTTAAATAACAAGTAGACATTACGCGAACACTATATATGATATTACCAACCATATTACAAAATAATTAGTTTTGATTTTGCCTAAGGTGCTTATAAATTAATGACGTTTTATTGGCTATGGGTCTTGTTTTATTACATTAATGATTATACGGACATTCCTGTAACCCTTCACTTTATACATGTATTAGTAGTGAAAAAATTGAAATATTTTGGAAATGAAAAAGTTTCTGCTTAAACAAAGTATTCTGGTATCTATAATGTTTTTCGTAAGCTTTGCGTGCATGATACACTTTACTGGCACTTTTCGGAAAACTCGTTTTTTAAATACAGCGTGGATTAAAAGATATTCTAATGAAACTAGGGTCAGACAAAAAAGTTTGCCTGCTTCGCCAAAGAAAAATATGAAAGGCTCAGTTCAAGGATTAGTTCTTCAAGGAGTTATGAAGAGCAATGTACATGATAAACATGATAAAAATAAAAAAGGTTCAGAAAATGGTAACAAAGGACTAATCAGCGTTAATCAACGTTTACAATCAAATATATTAACTGAAACTGTAGATATAAACAGACTTGAAACAAAGCATTATTCTAAAAGATTTAGGAGGGTTAAAGATGTGAATTGTGAAGAGCTATTTGATCATAACACAAAAGAGATACAAAGAGCAAACAAAATTCCGTTACCGACTATAGAAATAGAAAGATACAGAAAAATGACAGCACAATGTAAGAGATTTAAAGTAGCAAGAGGATATATTACAGATGTTTTAAGTAAGGAAGAGCAGGAGTTTCCTATTGCTTTCAGTATTCTTATGTACAAAGATGTTGAACAAGTTGAAAGACTATTACGAGCAATATATCGACCTCAAAATATTTACTGTATTCACGTTGATAAAAAGACAAGTTATAAAATTTTCGCAACAATGAAACGTATAATAAGATGTTTCAGAAATGTATTTATGCCGACAAAACGGATATCAGTGGTCTGGGGAGAGATGACCGTGTTAGAGCCCGAAATTCTTTGCATGAATGAATTATGGAAACGGAATAAAAAATGGAAATATTTCATTAACTTAACTGGACAGGAATTTCCACTTAAAACAAATTACGAATTAGTGAAGATTTTAAAAACCTACAATGGATCGAATGACGTAGAGGCAACTCGGAAAAGGTGCGATCACAGATAATCAAAATTAGTGCTAACGTATTTGATTTAATTATAACCTCTCGGTAAATATAATGTGCAAGCTAGGGCGACTGTTGTAGTTTGGTAGGATATGTAAATATATTGTAAACTGTAAGTGAATTTTGTGTAATGCGGTGCAATTGGAATTGTGTTGGGTATGGTATATATACATATAATGTAGGGTATTGAATATACACACGTGTATATAATATTACAAATTAAAAGTCCATGAAAATGTCTTTTTGGTAATGTGGTACTCGCATATACTAGTAAAATGTGCACCAATTTATTCTACATCAAAAATAAGATTTCTCCGATAAGATAATTTTGTTTTACAAAGCTGTGACTTCACTGAAATGGTGTATTTTTTAAACTATAGTATGATACCATTAACAAATTAATGAACAATTATGATGTAAATCGTAAATCATCGCATTTATTTTAGTCATGTTTACTCTATTATTATCATAATTCTAAATACGAAACACATATATTCCAGAAATCATGCAAGGTGGGCTAATGCACCTGATCCGCCGCACAACATAATACCAACAAAAGGTGCCGTTCATATTGCTGTTAGCAGAGGATATGTTGATTATCTATTACATGACAAACGAGCCCACGATTTACTAAAGTGGACAAGTTTGACAAAAATACCGGATGAAACGTTCTTTTCTACTCTAAACCATAACGCACATCTAGGTGTCCCGGGCTCTTACAAAGGTAAGCTTTCAGCCCTTAAAACAAATACGAGACATTTTTTTTTATATTCTCAACTTCAACCGTTCATATAGAAAGAGTACTTAAAAACTTTACTGGCTTAAATGAGTGTAAAAGAATGACATAGGAAAGTGTGGTTTATACGTGCAAAAATTAGGCGCCACGAGAGCCCTTTAAGCGATATAGAAATGTTGATGAATTACTTAATAAATACTAGTAGTCTAGCAATTAATTGAATGTATTTGTGCAAATGAACAGAACTATTACAGAGATTGAGCCATGATGCTTCGAGTTAATGTGACACTATCCATCGTTTTGATTTTTAACCAAATCTTGTTTTTTTCAAGCTCTTATGACGGAGTTTTTATCTCACTTTAGTGGCTTTCTATGACCCTCTGAACGGATCTCTCCGACAGATTATAGTTATTTCGTTTCCAGAAACGGAAAAGAGTTTGTTCTACACAAGACATTGTGAATTGACTACGTTATATTTTCTTCAATATTACAGGTCACCCAGAAACAACACCACAAAAGAACAGGCGCAAACCGTACTTGGCTAGATTCAAAAACCGCGGGAAATACATCTATAATTGGTCTTGTAGTGGCAAGAGGGTAAGAAGCATGTGTGTAATGGGTCACGGAGATCTTGCACGTCTTGCAAGGAGAAAGGAACTTTTTGCCAATAAATTTTATTTGACTTATCAGCCTTTTGTATTCGGCTGTCTTGAAGAGAGAAACTTCAATCGCACACGCGACGAGTACCTGGGAAAACTGACATTTGATACAACATGGTATCAGTCTTTAGGCTTTATAAAAAACAAAGTGAACTGAATACATGCTATAATGTAACTGAATGTCTTAGTTGTTAATACGGAACTGTAATTTTAAGTTCAATCAGGGCCTCTGTCACATATATGTGTAATTTGATACACATTTAGATGATATTTCTAATTATCTATTAATTTAAGTACAATATGTACATTCAAGTCTCGGGTTGCTTTATGTCAGAGGATAATATACATGATTATAAAAACATGTTAGCTCATGGAATACCTGTTCTCAAAATAGTTTTACATGAACATGCCTTTTGATATTGCCAAAAATAAAATGTGAAAAAAAAACATGCTGTTATAAAAGTAATGTTATTTGTTGTGCCCGCTATTTTCTTATATAACTAAATTATATGTATTAAACCACAATCATGTCAGCACTTACCCCAGTACGAGCACGTCAGTATAAACATTTTATGATGGAGAGCAGAACAGAGCAAAATTTTATCTAATGCTTATACAAAGCACACCATTCCATAAATATTAAAATTCAACAACATAGTACTACGTGATAATTTGACTTAAAACGATGTAGGAAAGAAAGAAAAAAACACTCGATGCAACAATTTTACTAGCATAATATATGTTCTTTAATAATTGGATACATGTCATTCATTTGCAATGTCGTTCATCATGCTTAACAATGAAATAATAATAATGATATAAAAATGACATATAAAAATCATTATAGTCAGTAGATCTTGTTCAATAAAGAAAACGGACATAATATTATATATATAGTACAAGTGCATTGTCTACAATTCATCTTTTTTATAATAATAAATGTTTGAAATGTAATTTAAACAATTTAAGACTTGTAGACTTTCTTAAATAGTGATCCATAACTCCATTCTAGGATAATAAAAATATGTTTCAAATTATATTGTTTTAGGTCGTTTATGCCTGTCTTTTTATGGGTTGATCTAAGTAAGTACGTTTTATTCTGAGATAACGGAATTAGATCAGAGATATTATGCTGATGTTAATTTATTCATCGCTTAATTTTTATACACCAGATTCATACACCAGAAATCCAGAAAAGTAATCACATCTAGATGGACAAGATTTGAAAGATTTCAAAAGAACTGGTTTACTGGTATTGGTACAAGTATTGTAATATTTACATTTCCTTCTAATATAACATCATTAATGTTTAAAGTGATTGATAAAGACGGTTGCTGCCTATTCTCATTTGATGTACATGTATCTTATAAATTTTGCCGAAAGTATTTACAATCTCTTGAATCTTCAACTGTCTTGTTATAGAACATTTTTTTACCCTTTTTTAAATATAGCTAGCCTGGCATTTTTTCTCCACAACTTATACTAATTTCAGTCTTAACATCTTTTATATCTTTTATAATGATCCCAATGTGGTTGTTTAGTCCTTTTTATAGCTTTATTTTAATAGGCGCGTGTTTGTTAAGTAATGCCTCCATCATATGATATAGAACATCAATGGAGCTATTTGGCTCTGCAATAATCTCAGTTATATCAAAATTTATAGCATTCATACCGTGTTCATTAAAATTCTTGAAAGAACAATAATGTATTGTTTTATATGAATAAGCAACTGCCTCCCTTGTTTCAACACAATTTATTGTAAACGACAATGATCCATAATGAGGATAGAGATCGCTTAGACTTAAATTAGAGACATATCATAAATATGACTGAGGAAAAATACGTATAAGCATCTTCCCTCAGTCATATTTATAATTTGAGTTGGTCTAAAAAAGAAAACAACACTCTTGCAACTCGAAGAAGCGAATTCGACAATGTTTATCGACACTAAAGTAACAAATTTTAGTTTGAATTTATTTTTCTTTGATGCTCCTACTCTAATTTATCATTATTGTTTTGATACATTTGTGTTTCATTGATGCAATTTCAAAAAAGGATGCAGTGGTGTAAGTTGTTTTATTAACCCTTTCCCCCATGAGCATATTGTGAAAAATGGCCGTTTTCACTGAAAAGCCTCCTGTTACAAGTTCAAACTGCTATGAAACTATGAAAAATGCTTCAATACTAATCAAACTTGGCACAAATGTTGACTGGACCATTGCCTTTGTAACGACATGCTCAGTCTTAAATTTCCTGTTACCATGGCAACGAGGGGACATCTCAAAATTGCCAAAAATCACTATTTTGCCTCGATTTTTTCCATCAAAATTTATTTCAAAGTGCTGCAACTTCTCAAGGGATTGAGATAGAGTCAAAGGCTTTTCAGCGTTGGTTAAACGTTACATTATGATCGACCTGGGGTCATTTTTAGCCTCTCACAAGTCCAAAATTTTCTTGGCGATGAGGGGGACTCCGCCCCCCTTCAAACCCCCCTAACAGAAGGGGGCACATCCCCCTTCTGGCAACCCCCTGATGTATCTTTTGGATGGGGGCGGCGCCGAAAAAGTGCTCAATTTTTTTAGCAACATTTCTCAAACGAAAACTTATGTTTGGGGCCCAAATAGGACATTTTTTCACTATTTGAGGCCTAAAAAGGGGGGGGGGTCGAAAGTGCGTTGTTTCGCGTATATATGTGGTAAAGGGTTAAGGTATCATTAATTAACACATGATTGTATAGGTAAAAGAAAGATTTGCAATATTTTAGAAATAATGAGCAGATCTACAACTGTGTGCACTTGCTAAGAATGAACAGTTTTTGAATTAAACAGTCTGAAAGTCAAAAATGTGTATGCATTATACAAACGACTCTTATTTCAAATGTGTTAAATTACATACAAATATGCATGTATATGTCTTTCACACTCAAATTTTAAATGAGACAGATATGTTCAATTGTACCAAATGCTGGAACTTATACGATATCATTTTAAGTCCCAGCTATAAGTGCAAAAAATGTTTTAAAAAAAATCTAGAGAAGGTGAGTCCCCTCGAAAACAATAATATGTACACAAATAGGTGAAGGCTGCAGACTAGTTTAGAGTGGAATATTCAACATTCATCTCTACAGTATAACCAATTGTTTTACCGTTGCCTCATATGATATCATCATTTTTCTTTAATTATATTTTGGCAACCAGCGTCTTCCAAAGACCCTTTATCAATGAATTACATGTATTGCAAAAATAAAAATTGATGTTGTCTTTTTACGGCTATTTTTCATCCATTTATGTAATTGTACGCTGGTGATAATGGGTCTGCATATTGCCACATGTTTTTGGTGGTGTTCAACCTGAATGAGAGGAAGTTGCTGGAGCAGGTCTACTTAAATTCGTAACAGCAACATAAATTCCACGATTAACGCCTTTTAGAGTGAAGATAGAACATTAAATAAGGTATTAAAATCATTCATTCTTCGAATGTACTATTGTGCAATTTGATTTTTAATTATAGATCAATAAATTCCAATCTTTGAGTTACAAGTTGCTCAAGTGCAGTAGTCGTCGGACATAATTATATTTGTATGATGCACTGATTTTTCTCACTTAATTGGAAAGAGGCCTTAGCCTCTTGTATTTGGGGGAAATTATCGTAAAAATTGCTAATTTTGGAAATAAAAAAGCAGGTTTAAGTTAAGATTTTTTGGAAAACTGCATGATTTTAAAGAAAATTTCAATTGTGAAGAGGCCTTTTATAAGGCTTTTAAGTTTTATTGGAGTCTGTTATACATTATATAAGCAGGAAAATCACTGTGATGATACAATAAATACACTTTTTATATTCAACAAAGATATAGGCCAGTCTGTAAGCTTGTGAATAGAAATAAATCCACCAAATCCACATCCTTTTTACATGCCCGAAAGAATTTCGGGCATATTATGTTATACCCCCTGGCATCCATCCATTAGCAATTTGGTTTCCGGAGCATAACTTAAGTTCCATTTGGCCCACAGTATTCAAACTTCATAGGATGATCACTTATATTGTGTACATTAATTATGTGCCCTTAAAAATGTTCTTACCGTGGCATCTTTCCGTCCATCCGTAGCATTTTAACTTACAAGATTCGGAAACTGTATATATATATATATATGTACTTCTTCAGCTATAAAGGAGGATTGCTTTTTGAAGGAGGTAATACTTTATTTAATTCCCATGTCTTAATAAGGTCCATTACTATTGTATTAAAAATGTATAATTATGTTATATGTTATTTACTTTGCGCTTTTTTACTGTTTTGTAAATAAAAAATATTATAAAACCTATTATATATTGCATTTTTTACAATCAGCGAGTACTTAACTGCACATAATACCATGATCGATTTAGATTCAAGCTAACACGAATAATCCCCCTTATATCTGTGCTTAAGGTGACAACGGAGTCAATTATCACTGAAAATACCAAAAATGAGATTTTTTGCTAAGTATATTTATCAACCTTTTCTGAACACATTCGTGATTTAATTTTGGAAGCAGTTAGTCCAAAAAATGTGTTTTTAAACGATTTAAAACGGTACCTATACTATTTGTATCTGCTATTCGCGTAACCTGTCGATTATCGATAACGCTCCGCCCCCTGTTGAGGCATCAATGAGGGAAATCGGTAGTTCCATATATCCGTGAATTACAGGTCCATACTGGTCCATACTTCTCGTAATACATGTATCGTTCATCTACCGTACATCTTTTATGAATATCTCAACATTAAGCCTTTTTTATAAATTAAGAAATTGTCGGCCAATGTACGTAACATAATGTATGAAACATAAATAATTAAGCATAGCGGCAAATCGCACGACCACGGGGTTGATTAAAAATGTAGTTGCTAAAATATCCATAATGTGTGAAAATAATTTGTCTATCCCGTTAATCTGATATATATATAACATTGAGTTGATAGACTTTTGTACAGATTCAAGGGCTTACTTTACATTCAACCTCGTTTTCTAACAATGTCAAGTAAAACAACAACAGACGACATTTTTTATGTGAACGCTTATATGACTTGTGGTAAGGTGTCCCTGACAAATTACTAAACCATTTCAGATTGTCTAAGGATGATTATTTCTCTATGAATAAAAAAAGATATTAAAATATATTCTCAGTGAAAATAAATTGTTCGCCAGTAAATCCGACACAGTACTAATAAATCTGGGACAAAGTATGAAATTTATTGTCTATCCCGGTAGAAACTGGATCTCTATGCCGTGCATAGATGATATTCATGATAATAAAAGTCAAGAAGGCCACATCATAATGATCGAGTAATGCCTTTTATTTCTATTAAAATATGTGAAGCATTATCAATTTGGTGGAAAAAATATATACTATCCCGTTCTTATTTGTACATCTACTATGGACTTTAAAAGACTGTCAGAAGCTCAGTCTTTTGTTATTTTATTTTATATTTTAACGGAATTTCATACACGAATACACAGGCAGAGTGACACTGGTATAATACAATAATAATGCTGATGATAATAATAAAAAACTTCAAATAGGAAACAATTAAATACCCCGCTAGCGGTGCGCAAATGCTTTCCATTTGCCCCCACTGAGTGCCTCAAATTTTACCGATAGTCACGTGACATGTGCCACAGATACCAGACGAACAGTAAATCACGTTAAGAATTGAAGAAATTTCGGCTATAAACTGATATTAATCAGCAGCTTTTTAATTGGTCAGATGTCACTGGGTCATAAAATGTTGTTAGAGTATGTTACCGCAACTTGTGACCCT